TTGAGGGGGACACTAGGGTGTGAGAAGAGGGACGGAGAGAGAAAGAGTGAGAGCGAAACAGAGCGTGCCGCAAGCGCGATAAAGAGAGAGAGGGAGAGAGGGTTAGACTGGGGGTTGGTGTGCCTAGGGTCGCGCGAGAAGAGACCGAAGAGTGGGGAGATTCCCTAGCAGAAACCAGTCGAGTCCCGGCCTCAGGTCGCGACGGGTATTCAGTTCACAGGCGAGAGCCGTACCGTGCGGTTGGCCTGCATGCTGTCTCTCGGGTTCGATTTAATCCTCGTTTTCCGAGCCGGTCGAGCGCAGTGGGACACAGTCCGATAACTGTGATATCGTAACGTTTCAGCGTGTGCGTCGATCCCGGCGAATAGTCAAAGCGAATTTTCGACGTTCGATCGCGCTCATTCGAAGTACGCTCGACGCGCGACTTATCCGATCAGTGACTAGAAACATCGCGCTGCCGATTTACAAGTGTGAACTTCTGATCGAACACCACCTACCAGTGACAACGGAACTGTCGTGTACCTTCGCCCTCCGTCGACGGGAACGTCGACTCCCGAGCGCGGCATTCTACGCGACATAAACAAACCGGGGACAAGTTTCCTCGGAGCGGCGCTGGGGCTCCGATCCGTGGAGTTCACGGTTTCCCTTGATCTGTCACGACTTACTACACGTTATCTATCGTAATCTGCAGCGCATACCACGAGAATAGAAAGGAAAAACTGTGGACCACGTTCGAGAGATTCTATCCAGTGATTCGGAGTGAGTGACAGTGACACGGTTAGTGGTGCAAGCTGAAAAAGTGATAAGAGAGAGGAGTTTCCCTCGGTACCTCTCGTTTTTCCATTCTGTTTCTTTACCCTCGTACTTTCTACGAGGACCCGGCGAACGTTTCCTCCACTTCCGGTCAGTCTGGTCGAGAAGCTTCGCTGATCTCGACGGGGCAAGCAACTTCGCGACACTTCGTCTACCGAGTGGTGAGTTTTATCTCGATCATCCCTTCTTACGTGTACACTCCGTTCCCCGGCCTCCCTGGCTTCGCTTCCCGGTGCACTTGCGTCTAAACTTGTGACAAAGATAAGACTCTTCGGGGGATGGGGGATCCTCTGAGAGGAATCTCTTTGACGACGTCGTCGTCGTCGATCGGTCCCTCTACTCTCGCGTCCTCGAACGCGACGTCCAGCCGGTTAGTCGCAATGGAAGGCGCACGATTTCGCCCCGGATAGCCGGACGTATCCGACATCTCGCGATCCTTTTATCCGGAGACCCTTTTGCGTCTTTATTCCCGTCCCCTGGTGAGCCGGTCGACAGGGACGAAGATGCTATCTGGGCCGAGGCGGAGAAGCGTTCTCGCGCGCGCCGAAATAATCGCGAAATAGGCGGGGACCCGGCGGATATCTGCCGGTGTTATCGTCTGCGTAATCGGGCTCGATCGCGTAACGAGTTTCCCGGCGATTCGCTTATCGCCTGGCCACCGGACACCGAACGGTTTCGATCATTGAAAGGCGAATCGTAACAGTTTATTACGCGAATGGAGCGGACCCACGAGTTTATCCGCTCAACCTGGCAGCCGGAAGCCTCCGTGCGTAGAGGAAGGAATCGATCACTTACTTTCGTCGCGGGACACCGTGACGTTTCGTCGGCTTACACGATCAATATTTACCGGCATCGGTGTCTTTGCTGACTGTTGTGCACGGCCTTTTTCGCTGGTTGACGTTTTCTGTTTTCGGGCTGATGGTTGATCAGTGAATCAAGTGTGATAATTGAGTATAGGTTTCTTTCGGGATTGTTCTTATGAATGCATTTGTTGGAATTATATGGGTAATACTTATTTGTTACATTGTTTTGGAGCAAAGTACAGTCTTTCCTCGTTGGTGCAAGGCAAAGGATTAATACGCGTTACGAATGACAAGAGAATAATTGAGTTGATCAGTAGATGTTGGATACATTTTTCGAGGATATTCTAAGTATTCGAAATTACTGGCAATTACTGTCTATTTAAGACTCAATGCATTGCTACAAACAGCAAGGACAGGATTAAATTGTCTTCGTAATGTCGGCTATTGTTACTGTCACTACGTGATGAACGATCTGTCATGACAGTTCAATAAATTCCCATGGATGTCAGAAATAATTAGCATTCGTGTATGAACTCCTCTCAGCGTGAACTACAACTATGTCCAACGTACACTGACATGATGTAACACGCGCATCATTGAGTAATCTTTTCATTGATGCATCGTTGAATGAATCATCTAACGTGTCTCTACTAAAATAGTGATGATTAGAAGGATAGAGACAGCGCGTACTGTCAATTACGTAGTGCGTTTTTTGCCATCGTAGTCACTTGAGAAACTTTCGCAGATGAAAGGCAAACGATTGTTAACGGACTAATTAGACAGAAAAGAATGAAAAGGATGATCTAGAAAATGTTCATTTTCACCTGGAATGGATGCATTTTTAAATTCGCAACTATTACAGTGCCGACTTACTCGATCTATTTCCTGGAGTTCGAGGGCTGCTTCTGAAAATTCCCTATTCACGAGTTGAATGCTTAATCTGCGTACGCCGCTTCTGGCTGCGTACGCAATATATCGTTCGAATCCCTTCGGCTCCGGCCACCCCAATATTCAGCGGGTTTTTTGCAATTCGAATTTTCACAATCAAGCCGCTCCTGAGAAAAACTGGGTCCGCGAATGTTTATCTTGATACCGGCGGAAAATACTCATCGAACTGACTGCAAAACATTGACCCGTGGCCGAGCAGTATTTCCTAAGCAATCTGGTTTCGAGAACTTTTCGAAAACATCGGGGTTCGTTTGTTTCGGAATTTCTATTAACCGATGTCGAATCGCGAAAGTTTCATTTGAAACGCTGCGCGCAATGGAAAAATGGATTTGATTGGTCGGAAATTAAAAAGCGATTAGTTTTGTTTGGTACTTACAGCTAAGTGTTTGCTTTCGAATATTAAAAGTTTGCTTTGAAACGAAAGGAAATCGCTGAGCATATTGGATTTACCTGTAGGCGAGTAGCGAGCTATCGATGAAGGAAAGCATATGAATCATTTGAAAGAAAAACAGAGGGGCTGCTCGGAGCTCTGAACCGACAGCACCCACGGTGACTCACTGGTTTGTTCCAATGAGGTTAGCCTCGGCTATGATTCAGATTACGTTCCGTTTTTTCTCGCATGGAAATTTTTATGATTAGATAGCGAGCGTTATGACCGTGAAAACGATAAGAAATCATTTTTGAAGACGAAGAAGCCGAACTCGGGCAACATAAACAAAAAAGAATCGTATCTGTTATGAGATGGCAGAAGATTATGAAACATTTCCGAGTGATTCTCAAAAATACATATATCTGTTAACAAAAGAGACCGAAAGAACTTCACGTTCAGTGTTCAAAATACATGAATGCATAAGTGGCATTCGAATAATTAATGGGCGATCGCCAATGAATATCAATCATACACGTACTCCAACATCCAAACGTTATTATAATAATGACATCGTTCGAAGGAACGTTAAAACTGGAACGAACGCTATGGATCCTACAGAGGGAAGCCTTAATCGCCCCCTCTATTAAGAATCACTGCCGCAGGACGCCGTACATCCTGCGTAACGTGACTCTCACGTATGCGAGGTCTGGTCGTCGTTTGCGCGATGAGCGACCTAATTTCACTATGGCCGGTCAAACGGTTCTTATGAAGCGCCCGAAGTATAATGGCCGTGTCCAGCGTGCAAGACTGAGAATTTAAGAGCATTGTCGTGTTGTGCGACCGAGAGTCGGAAATAAGAAAAGTTTGAATGAAACTCTTTGCACGGTATCCATCGAGAAAGGAGAAAAGAGAGGGGCGGAAAGTATCCCTCTCTGGTTCCTTCTCTGTCTCTTTCCCTCTGTTCAGCTCCGAACGATATCGTGGATGTCTGTAAATCTCGAGGAAAACCATCTTCCCGCGTATCTCTCTGCCGAAGGAGAACGATCGCGGGTGGCGGCACGATAAAAAATATGGCACGGAAATGATGAGGAATAAAAGCTCGGCGGAAGGTTCGTTTTTATACCGTAATCTTGATGTTACGTGATACATGCGCGCCGCCGCGTATAAAAGCGGTGAGATGTATTGCTTTATGAGGGAAATGAGATTTTTATTCGCGGCCACGCGCCTGGGAAGAAGAGAAACGTAGAAGCGTCACCGGTGAATTCTAGATGCCACCGAAAACATCAATTTCCACCTTCTAGGAAGGAGTTTCGGTTGGGATTCGCTGTAACAATTTACGGGGCGAGCGTCTCCATAATTCTTCTCCTTTTCATTAATGAATTCTGATGCGCGAAATACACTAGACTCCCTTCCATTTCCATTCTCCTGACACCTGTAACTTACACCTCGAACAATGTCCCGCGAACGATCTTTCTCGTTATCAAATAGTTTCCACGAAGAAATTCTAGCGAACGTAGGGAACCCGTCGCTGGTAATTACGGAAAATTAAGCTGGCGCCATGATTTCAAAGAACGGAACGCCGAGCGATGTTTGCTCGCGAGATCGAGTGGGCATTCCAGTTTTAACGAGCGAAAGATAGGGAATTCATTTATTCTTGTGGACCGACGAACAGTCCCGTTTATCTTCGAATCATTTCAGCGCCCTTTGATATTGGGAACGTTTCAAAAGCGTAACGAAAATCGCAAGCAATCAAGCGCAAACTATTCTATACAATAAAATCAATTATTAACGTTTCTGCGGTTTACAGCGAAACAGTTAATTATCCGTCGCGTTTCCGGTCGAATTAAATACACGATCGCGTGGTCGCGCGACTTAATCTCGCGCTCCGAAAATTCGACCGCGATCTAAACACCCGGTTCCGTTACAAATGGTCGCGGCGGCCGGTGTCGCCCCGAAAGCCCGTCATAAATCAGTCGAAACGACTTGCTCTTTCTCTCTCTATCTCTCTTCTACCTCCAAACTACTTCGAGAAACGTATCGCGAAAACGGGGCGGCAGTACAACGGGGTGACGTCGCGCAGCCTGGATACATGACGCGCGGAGGACGAGACGCGCGAAAGTTAGCGGAACATTTGCGTCCTTACATCCTGTTACGTCGCGCACGACTCACACCGTGAAAGGGTATGGGAGGCGCGGGTCGCGTGGAAAAAGAACGGCACCGCGCGAGCTCCGTCGCCGTGTTTCGATACGGCCCCGGAGTTCTCGGCAGCGAGCAGCAACGGTTGCTCGTCGCGCGACATCAGCAACAACGACGGCAGCAGTTCGGAAGTTTCGGCGGAGAGGCGGCGGGCGAATTTCCATAAGTTGAGGGATGGCTTCTTCTTCTTCCCTTCTCCTCGCAAAGTGAGAAAAGATTGTCGCGCGAGGCGAAACCGACCGTCGTTCCTGGAGATGGCTGGCTCGGATACCGGCGTCGCCGCGCCGGCAATACATTACTTGGTTGTCCCACGTCGCTCGGATCTTTACCGGCTATCTCCTTTAAGTTCCTCCCGTTCCACCCAGCTCAAAGGCACCTCGGCTCGGGCGCGAGCCTGTTTCGCGTTTTCGTCTCATCCCACGTTTCCTTTCTTCCCTGCCATCCGTTCTCCTTCCCCGGTAGCCGCGCGTGATCGCGCGTGCTTCCCGCTCATCGCCTCCGTTAAAGGAATCACGCGAGAACGGGAGCGACCGCTTCCCGTGTGCTTGCGTGCATTGCGGACCGCTGCCGGCGAACATAATCTTCCGAGTAATTCGGCAGCTCCGGGAGGCGAGAGACTTCGGCGTGCAATGCAATCTGCTCTGGTATTTTTCTCTGTTGTTCCGTGGTCACGTACCACGCCAGTTGGCTGGACCCCCGAATCGAAGTGATCGCTAATCCGACCTGATTGCGAGAGCCGTTCGCGTTATTCCTCGCACGATTATCGGCTCCGCGGGTCCAACGATTTAGGTTTTCGCGTTACACTGAGACTGTCATCCTGTGAACAACGGGCAACGCGGTTTAT